TAAGCTTGCAAATTGTCCTATAATTTTATTTATTTGGATATTTTGAAATATTTAAATTCTGACAATGGAAACTATTGATTTTTATTATTTATGTCTTTGGCATTACTTTTAGAAAGACCCTCCCTATCTTTAAATCATATTTTTCCTATTTACTCATTATTTTTAATAATATTTGTTTCTCATGAATTTATGAATTAGTCCAATTTTTTCTCCCTAATAGATTGATTAATTAGTCTATTCTTTCTCATTGATTTAAAATGGAAACTTTAACACAAAGTAAATCATTATTTACAAGTGAATTGGTTACTGAACTTTCTACTCTGTTCCATTACTCTGTTAACTATTGTTACATGAGCACTTAACTATTTTAATCCTTATCAATTTATAGTGAGGTTTTACATAATCATCAGCTACCAGTCCTTCTCATTATTTTCAGTAATTTTTGACCATTATCATTAATTTATATTTTAAGCTATCCTTTAGAAACATTCCTCAATTAAAAACAAATTCTTTCTTTAGTATTATTTATTTTAAATGATTTGTGTAAGTTTCATTACATTACATTAACATAATATTTTATATTAAATGTTATATAATTTAAATTACATAAATTTATATATTAATTTGGAGAAAATCAACATATTTAAAATGGTCAATATCCACATTCAGGAATATGGCTTCTCCTTCCACTTATTCTAATCTATTTTATGTTTACCAAATTTTTAATTTTTTATTTGATATATGTTCTCTTTTATGTCAGATTCATACCGAGCTATTTTATTGTATTGCTATTGAGAATGAAATCTTGTCCCCATTATACTCTCTATTTCGTGAGGACACACAGCAGCGCTATTGATTTTTATGTGAGTGTTTGTGATCAGTCATCTGATTGGTTGTACCTCTTTTCCAGCTGATCCTGGTATATGAACTAGGAACAATCATGGTTTTATCTCCTCTTTCTGGTATCCCTGTTTTGATGTTGTTTTTGTTTCCCTGTGACTAGAGCTTTCATTGGGACATTTAATTCAGTCCATGACAAGCACCTCCAGAGGGCGCTGAGAGCTGCCGGGCCGCCCCAAGCTGAGAGACGTGCTTGCCTCTCCTCCCCCGACCTCCTCCCCACATGCCAAAGCCGTGACCCCTACTGCCCTGAGAAGACAGATGAAGCCAGAAGAGGACCTCTCCAGACCTCCCGGCCCACGGCCCCACAGCCAGCACGGTACCGAGAGGTTCTCTGCGCCCTGGAGGAACGTCCCTCTATGTGCGAGTGCGGGCCTGAGCCCCCTTCTCCCACCTACTCTTGAATGCGCTCCAGCCCTTCTCCCATCTTCCTCCTACAGCATCAGTGTTTCCCTGAGACCAGATCATTCTCACCAGCACACAAGCACGCAGTTGTGCCACCCATCTTAAATAATAATAAACCAAAACAATAATAATAATCAGACCAAAAAGCCTTTCTCTCTCCAGTTCCCTTGCCAGCTACTGCTGCTGCCCTACTTCATTCAGGTTTTATTCAGTCATGCTTCCAAAAGCTGCAGAATTGCAACAGAGCCAGGCCTCCTTTCTCCAATCTGTGTTTCTCTCTCTCTCTCTGTCTCTTTCTCCCCCTCTCTCTGTTTCTGTCTCTCTGTCTCTCTTTGTCTGTCTCTCTCTCCCCCTTTTTCTCTTTCCTAAAGCAGGTTCAACCTGGAGAAGTGAGGAGGAGCCAGGTGTCACCCACTGGAAATGCCCAGAAGGCAGCTCTGCTCTGATCTGAAGAAGAAGATCCCTCTGACTCCTGTTTCTCTGCCTCTAGTCTGGGCAAAAGGATTTGCTCACCCAGGACTCCTGCCCAGTTGATTAGAATTCCATGGTGGGATTTGCAGGGAAAGCATGGGATGAATATCAAAAACCCTTTTGCCTTAATTCAACATGTGACAATATTGCTCTCAGATCCTCAGGCCTCAGGTCCTGAGGGTTGAGGGGAAAATTCAGATCCTTCTGGATCCCTGGCCAAATTTTATGTTAATCTACACACTGCTGAGAACCTGTTTTTTGCTAGTCTTTATGCTTGTCAGATGCTTTTAAAAAAAAATTATTTTATTGAGGTGATATTGGCTTATAACTTTGTATAAATTTCAGGCGTACATTATTATATATCAGTTTCTGTATAGACGGCATCATGTTCACCACCAATAGTCTAGTTTTTATCCATCACCATATATATGTGCCCCTTTACCACTTTTGCCTTTCCCCCACCTCCTTCCCCTCTGGTAACCACTAATCTGTCTCCTTATCCAGGTGTTTGTTTATCTTCCACATATGAGTGAGATCATACGGTGTTTGTCTGTCTCTGTCTGGCTTATTTCACTTAGCATAATACCCTCAAGGTCCATCCGTGTTTTTGACACAAGAGCCAAGAACATACCAGGGAGAAAGGAAAGTCTCCTCAATAAATGGTGTTGAGAAAACTGGACAGCCATGTGCAAAAGAATGAAAGTAGACCATTACCTTACACCATACACAAAAATTAACTCCAAATAGATTAAAGACTTGAATGTAAGACCTGAAACCATAAAAATCCTAGAAGAAAATATGGGCAGTACACTCTTTGACTTCGTTCTTAGCAGTACCTTTTTGAATACCATGTCTACTCAGACAAGGGAAACAAAAGAAAAAATAAATAAGTGGGACTACCTCAAACTAAAAAGCTTCTCCAAGGCAAAGGAAACCATGAACAAACTGGGAGAAAAATATTTGTCAATCATATATCTGACAAGGGGTTAATTTTCAAAATATATAAGGAACTCATACAACTCAACAACAAAAAAACAAACAACTCGGTCAAAAAATGGGGAGAGGATATGAATAGACATTTTTCCAAAGAAGATATACAGATGGCCAACAGGCACATGAAAAGATGTTAAACATCACTAACTATTAGGGAAATGCAATTCAAAACTACAATGAGATATCACCTTACACCCATCAGAATGACTAAAATTAACAAGACAAGAAATAATAAATATTGGAGAGGATGTGGAGAAAAGGGAACCCGCATACACTGCTGGTGGGAATACAAACTGGTGCAGCAACTATGGAAAACAGCATGGATATTCCTCAAAAAATTAAAAACAGAAAACCATATGATCCAGCTATCCCACTACTGAGTATTTAGCCAAAGAACATGAAATCAACAATTCAGAGATTTATGCACTCCTACGTTCACTGCAGCATTACTCACAATAGGCAAGATGTGGAAGCAACCCAAATGCCCATCAATAGATGAATGGATAAAGATGTGGTATATAAGCTGAGTAGTACTCCATTGTGTGTATATTGGATTCTTTTCTTTGTCCGTGGAGTTCAAGACATCTGCCGTTTCATATCCAGATATAGATTTCTTTTTATTAACTTTGTATCCAATGTGGTGAATGCTTACTTTGCAAATCTGGGTTTTTCTTCTCTTTGGTAAATGACGGTTCCACCTTTCTTCTTGTTCCACTTGATCTGCGTCTCCTCCTCAGGAGGAACAAGGGTCTGCAGCCCCATCTCTGCTGACCACCTTCGGGTCAAGTGTCTGCATCTCCCGGCCTTTACTCTTGGGGTGCCCCCGGCTCATCCTCCAGGCCTCGGCCTGACTTTCTGCAGCCTTCTTTTACTCATTACCACCTCCTCATGTGTTTTAAAGTCAACATCATGTACACATTTTATAACAGCTGTTTCACGTGTTAACTAGCTTCTTTTTAACATCCAACTGCTTCCTCCAGTCTCCCCTTCACTCTGGCCTTCGCGGTTCATTTGTTTATCTCTTGCTTCCTAGAATCCACCTTTTGTTAAATTTTATTCAAAGTACCCAAGACAATATGATCTAAATTTTTCCAAAATAAATCACTTTTCTGTTCAGCTAACAGAAGGCCACCTGTTGGGCCCAGTGGGTGCATCCACCATCTAATTTATGCTCTGTCTCTACCTCTCAGGGGCTGTATTTTCCCAATTTTATATAAAATCATCTTTTTGATGACCCATATCATTTTGATTTTTACTCATTGTTAAATGATGCATGAGCTCTCCAACTCTGGAATATGTTTCTGTAAACAGAATGAACTGGGTTTTTTTCTTCTGTCCCTGCATTTTCAATTTGTTTATGATTAGACTCTTTTTTTGGTTAGTTCTTAACTTAAAAGGTTCAATGCCACTTGAAATATCCAGTTGCTTTGTAAAGTATAGAGCCAGAATCACAAGAAATTTCAGAGCAAAAATATAATACCATCAAAACGCTATTTTTAAAAATATGAAATAAAAAAAAATTAAGTGCTATTTCTACTCTTTTTATCCTGAGCCTGGTGTGTGGTATGCATACCTCCTTCCCCACTAACACAGGAGGGGAACTTCATCACCATTTGTGGCCCATTCTCTCATTGACTCCAAGGTGCACCTGCCACACCAAGGAAGAAACGTGCCACAAGGGAGAAATTCCAGACCCATGACACCACTGACAGCTCTGGGTTTGGAGGCAGCTCCTGACCCCAACCCGCAGCACAAAAGAATTCATTTGGCCTGGCTCTCCTCCAGGTTCTGCCCAGCTGATCTGGCTGAGTGCAGTCCTTCACTCCCGCTCCATGCAGCTCTCTGAACTCTGCCCTGACCTTGTTCCCTAGGGGCCAACGGCACAGACTCTCCCACCCTCACTCCCCTCATCCCTGATCCTGGAAACTAGGGTCTTCTCCGTTCAGCTGACAGAAGCCCACCTGTTGGGGAGCTGCATGGTGGACCCAATGGACCCATCCAGCATCTGTCTGGCTCCTCTGTTCTGTCTTCACACGGCCTTTGCTGTTCCACTCAGGGTTCAGAGGCACCATCTTTTCCTCAAATATTCACATTCCATTTAAAATATATCCTACGAATTCCCTTTTTCACATCTTATTTAAAGAATATATAATTATCCTAATATTCACATATATTGGTACAAACTGTTTTTTAAATTTATTTTGTCATCTTTTAAAGTGTAGAATTCTTACCAGGAATCAAGTTGCTCAAGTACCATCCACATAAAAAATAAAGGCCTGAATCAAAGAAAATCATCCAGCAAACCCAGCCAAATGTCATGGTGGCTTGTTCTGGAGCCTGGTACATATTATTCCACTGAATCCCTGGAAGGAAGGGAAAGGTCAGAGTTAGAACTGTACAACCTCTTTCAGTGTAGATTTTGGTAAGATGAGTTTATTAGTTCTGGAAGCTCAAGCAAAGCTGAACACAGCTAAAACAAAAGGAAGGTCAACACCATTGGTCATAATTCTTCAAATGAAATGTTAGTTTACTTAATCTCACATTTATTTCAAGGATATCAGGTGGAGTGACCATTAATAACATTTTAATATTTAAATTTAACATGTAAAATTTTTTAAAGGTTGATTTACTTATATCTAGTTTTATTTGCTTAACTAAAGTATAAATCTATATTTAAGGAAAATAAGCATGTTCAAAAAAAAGATAAATATAAGGCTCCTTGAGAACCCAAACTCTAAATTATATTATTCTCTCTGCTCCTGGAAAATATATAAACAGGATATATAACATCTGCAGTGGGAAAGAGTCATTATTTTCTTACAATATGCTTGCAAATTTTGCTGGATTAAAATATAATTTTGTTTTAAGAAAAATATGCCTTTTTCTCAATTTTCCTATGGTACCAGCCTAGAACTCAGTAAAAGAAAGATTTTAACATTGTGCACTTATTGGAATTTGGGCCAACATATTCAAAGGATCAACAGTGACTATTTTTCTCCTGTACCTTCTTGATCCAATTTAGTTTAAGGATCAGTTCAAGGAATTTAGGATAAATCATTCAGGATTACTCTTCTGTTAAAGAACAGTTCAATATGCTTTACTGAAATGTCTGAGAACTCCAAAACTAGTGCCAAATTAATGGGCTAATGTAGCAATATCCAGAGTTGAGTTTCACTTATGTTCTATATTTTGCCTGTAAGTGTTTACAAAAACACACCACAAAAAACATATAAACATCTAAGAAATATATGTCTATTCCAGCTTAGGATTTTTGTTGTCTAAATCTCAACACAAGTGAAAAATGCTGCCAAAATTTTTTTAAAATATTATTTTAGGCTGAATTAATAGGGATAAAATTACACAAAAATGGAGGAGATAATTGTGCTCTATTCTATGCTGGTTAGACCTATTTCTGGATACTGACCTTCAGGAGGGACCCAGAAAATCTGGAGGTAAAGATGAGAGCTGACAATATGTGAATGACTGTCATGTGAAAGAGGGAATTAGAAAGAGAAACTGGAAAAAGTGGGCAGGAGATCCAGGAAGACAGATTCCAGTTCAATAATCCCCTAAGAGATGGGACGTGTGTGCACACCCCGTTCTTGGAAGAATTCAGAAGGTCGCTAAGTTGACACTGTGTCTATCAGGGGTGTTATAAAAAAGAACAAGCACTAGCTGAGTGGCTCACTTGGATAGTGTCTGAAGCACGGGATATTCTTGATTGTTCCTAAAACCAGGGCAGCTGGGTGGTGGGAGGTGTCTACATCAACTAAACCAAATACCAGAATCTCATTCCACGTGTTCCGCTTTGTAATGAAGACTTTCTACTGTACCACTTGCAACATGATAACTTTAAATTTCCAAAAACCTGAATCACTGAGAGTCACTTTTTAAAAATGCATTCCCTTACCTGCCTCTTGCCCTTCTAGGAATGTAATGAAAAATACTCCTTGTCCAAAGGCGGTCGTGGAGAGAAGGCACTGCCCACGGATTGATGGAGTGAAGAGAAAAACAGCACGTTAGGGCTTGACTGGGGCCACAGAAAATCCACAGCACTAAATTCAAATAGAGGAGACACTACACGTTCCAGCTCTAAGGATGCCAAACCATTGCTCCAGGCGGTGATTTCAATATGTGAACCTGGAAGACTTAGCCGAATGTCAGCCTATTCTGAAAAGCGTGATAACAAGCTTGTTTCTAATGTTAAAAGGAATTATTTCTCTTTACTGCAATGTTTGAAGTGTCATAAATCCAATGCAGTGTATACAGAAATGTATAGGACAAAACAATGGAAAATGGAATAGAGCAATTTACTATTTTTTATTATGAAGTGAATGCCCTGGAGCACACTGTAGGCAAACTGACGGCACGTATCCAATATTCTACACTAGAAAGAGAGCGTATTGGAGGAAAATGTTATTTACTTTCAGTGGAGAGGTTCTATGTCAGAAAAAAAGCCCGTTGAAAAAGCATCTTATATTTAAAAACCTAATATGCCAGAGTTAGATTTTTTTATTTGGTAGAAAACATTTGGACGTGTAAAAAGGAAATCAAACTTTGTATGCGCAGAACTCTTAAATATAAGGATTGAAGACAAAAATCAGTGTTTGAAATCCAGGCCAGGTGGTCAATGGCTCTTTTTATACATGTAAGGAGCATTTGAGGGGCACTGAATGGTCCCAGTTGTTTTAACAATTCTGAAAACACCTAAATATCAGTAATGAGAAATTGATGGTTATGAATTATTACAGGTGTGACATAAGCTAATCAAACTGATGACTACAGATCAGTGGATAAAATACTGATTAAAGAGCACCATTTTTCCATCATGCATGCATGTCTACACTGTGTGTAAATGGCCAGTAGAAATCATGGAGGACTGAAAGGTTTATTGATGTTGGAGAAAAATAATTTGGCTTTCACAGAAGTATTTTACTCTAAGGCTTGAAATGAGCAGAGAAGTCGACCCCTCCCAATAAGTGAGCTTACACTAAGGCTGTTGCCATGCTGCGCGGGACTAATTGACTTCTGAAGGCCTTCAAATGCCCAGGGGCAGCCTGAGATTCTAAGTTGCCTCAGTACTTCCCCGAATTCTCTCTTAATAACTCCAGTCATACCCCCAACAGACTGCAATTTGACGAATCTGCCTGACCTGTGGGGTAAGTAAAACCCTGAGCATAATGCAAATGTTTACAATGATGGCACTGGCACCGTGAAACTGACCATTTAACAATCATTTGTCCATTCTTTCCACATGGATTGAGTTTCTACTACGCAACTGGCACTGTGCTTACCAGGCAATAGTCTGGTAAATAAAAGCATGAGTGAGTTTCTATCTTGTACATGTATTTTATATCACAGACTTGAAAGTATTCTAATACCTTTTTGAGAGGTACATTTTAAATGGATGAACGACTCTGACATTGCTAATAGAGAGATTTTTCCACTTAATGTGATGTAATTCGTGATGTTTCAAGAAAAAAATGTTTATTTTTCACTTCTAAAATAGCTTTGGAAACCTATTTCTTTCCATGCATGAAACAAAGAGAAACTGAAGTCATATACTTCCTTTAGGATACTACCAAGTTCCCAAAGAGTCTACAGAGGAGAGTCCCTGTTATGTGAAAAATGTCAATTCTTAATGAGCTGCCCTCCAGCAAAACCATGCAGTTTCAATGAACTCCCAAGGCAAGGTCTACGTGAGTAGAAGCAAGAAAAGTGGATATCAGAAAGCCCAAGGGATCTGAAAATGATCCATTCAAATGTTGAAGGTGATGATTTGTTTTATTGGGTAGATGGCAGTTTTGTTTTACTCTGCATTTTTACAAAACCACCCACTTACCAGAAATGTCTGAATGACAACACTTAATTCGTTCCGTAGAACCAGCAGAACTATGTAGGGCAAAAAGCTGATCATATACACCAGGCTGGTACAAAGGGCGGCTGTGTTCGCTTGGCTGAAAAATGCACTCAAAAAGTAACTCAGCATGATGACTGACACCCCAAAATCCAGGAGAAAGAGGAAAACAACACAGGCATTGCTGTATGCGAAGATGCCGCTTATTTTCAGAATGAGGGCCAGGGCGGCACTGCTTATGGCCAACATGGCCACATTCTCCAGGAACCAGGCCAGGAAATGGATCATCGGATGCACTCCCATCATCCTCATGTACTGTCAAAAGAAGGGAGACGGGGGTTACCACCCAGATGCCTGGGAAAGAACAGATCGGATTTCGGAACAAGAACAATTGCAGGTGGAAAGGCAAGCCAATGCTGCTACTTCCATGTGATCGCTGGCTTGGAAATCCCGCACCCAGCAGGCACTGCACCAGACACTTTTTCCTAGAGCCCATAATTTAATTTGAATGAACCCCTTACAGAGTAGGTCGTTCACCACTTCAGGGAAGCAAGAACCAAGACGAGGCGACGTTAAAACCATCTCACCCACTGGAAGAACACACAGTAGAAAGGGAGGAGCAGATCCTAGACCTCAGGATTGATGACTGCAGGCTCATTGTGTTTTCTTGTTTATTTGGGTTTTGTTGGTTTGCTTTGTTTATGTTGGTTTCATTCAACAAAGACAAAGAGAAAAATGAAAGGGGAGATACTGGGCCTTATGCTGTTCACTTGTTCAGTTGGGGGGATTATTGCATCGGTTTTATAACGTGTTTGAAGTAATAACAATAAAATTAATTAACCCACTAAACCCACCATTTGCTCCTCTACAACAGGGTGACGTCTCTGAGTGTGGGGCTGGTTACTTACAAAATAAAAACAAACCGTCCTGATGCACCCACGCTGGGCGGCCACTGGGCCAGCGGCAGCAGGGGAGCCTACAAGACTGACACTCAGTCCCAGGCCCTGTGCCCAGGGGCACAACTGGATGGGAAAGAAACACAGAAATCCAGGAGTAAGTCAGTCCTAAATAGGTAAACAACATGCAAAACAATAGCGCAAGTTCTCTTCAAAATGGAATGATAAGCACATTGTACCTGGCCATGCCTTTTCTTCACTGTAATAGACATTAAGTAGATAACGTGCACTCATTGACTCTGCTGGCTAAATGGGGAGGCAGATCCTTACCAGATACTTCTATTAACTTTCATTCTTAAAAGCAGCTTTGATAGTTTCAAGTTTTAACAATATTAGGACAAAAATGACGAGGCTGTACATGAAGAAGTCAAATCACAAATTAAGATGAAAAGTCTGCCATTATGTCTTTCCGGGTTGTAGAAAAATTGCCGAATGAGCCACATTGGTTTCCTTCTTTCAACTTCAAGTGCCTGTCCTTTGGCTTCCTTCCATCTCGAGGAAATACCTGCTAACCTCTGGCAGGGCTTAGGACTTTGATGTAAAACGATTTTCCTGGGACAGGGGCTCAGCCAGGCTGTTCACAGGAACCCCAGCAGAGGGGAGTCGGGGTCAGTTATGGGGCGGGACTCATCTCCAAAGCCCCAGTCTCCCCTCATCTCCCAGGCAAGCTCCAAGGCTACTTACCTCTTCTATCTGGATCTCCCGCTCATAAACCAGCTTTCGAACTATGCTGGCCACAGACACCATCCATGTCAGCATCATTATTAGCGGGAAAAAGAAACCGACGTGGTTCAAGAACCTGTAAGGAAACAATTGGGTCAGCATCCGACAGCAAGCCGAGTGATTCTATTCAGTCAGGCTCACGTAAGTACCGCACCTGTGCACGCATTCTTACATTGTTCTTACAAGCTACAAAGCACTTTCAGGAACAGTATCTCCTTTGGCCATTTCAATGAGCCTGTGACTTAGGCTGGACGGCTGTTTTGTGTCCTCATTTTATAGGTGTGCAAACTCACAAAGGAAACACAGCCGTTCAAGGTCCTTAAGTAGAGATTGTCCCCCACTAATCCTCTCTGACACTCTCCTAAGCAGAGCAGGTGGGAAGGAAATGGTCATGAATTCATGACTACCATCTCCCCACTTAATTGGGACCATTATCTATCTTTAATCAGTGAGATCAATTGATCATGGATTACCACCTATAGAATATGTGAGAATTGGCCAGTGAAAGCCTCCCTTTCTTTTTCCCCAACAGTCACTTTTCAGCCCACTCTAACAGGCCTTCTCTTTCTAACACGTATTTGAAATGACTCTAATCTAGGACACCAATGACAGCTATGTCTCAAATCCAATGGGGATTTTTCCATTGTTTTCCTTCTTGACTTAGTTGTATTTGGTAACACTGACTGTTCCCTCCTTCCCTCTCTTCTTTAGCTTCTAGAACAACTCTTGGCTTCCTGTCAACTTTCTCAGTCTCCTTCACTAGTGACTTCTCCTTTCCCTATCCTTTAAGTGTGGGCATTCTCACCCCAATCCTGGGTCCTATCATCTCGTACCCTCTCAGCTCTAGATCCACACATTAACTGATCCATCACTGAGACCAACCAAAAGGGCAAGCCATTTTATTGGGCATGTGATACATGAATGAACCAAACAGAGAAAGGTCCTGCCATTACGGATCCTACATTCTAGTGGGGGGTGGGGGGGACGACACGACACACATAAAATAAGCCAATAAACAAAGAGATATATGATTTGATGTCAAGTATGTAAAAGAATGACTTTAGCAACAGTGAGATGGGATGCTATTTCAAATAGGGTAATTAGGCAAGGTGTCTGGGGAAGAAATATCTGAGCAGAGAACAGAAAAAGTGAGGAAATGAGTCCTGTAGGAATCTGAAGGAAGGCTGCTCCAGGCAGAGGAGCAGCAAGCACGAGGATTGGAGACACGATCGTGTGGGGCATAATTCAGGAGTGGCAAAGGGCCTCATGGATTCATACGAGATGGGGTTGGACGGAGCATTAGCTGGGGCCAGATCATGCAAGGATGTTGTGCATCAGGGTAAGCACTGGATTTATTCAAAGAACAAGAGAATACCATGAAAGAGTTTTAGGGGAGGGAGAGAGCAAAACAGAGAGGTGACATATCACGTGCATGCTTTTTTAAAAAGACCACCGAATGCAGTGTAGACAATGGAGTGCAGGTGGAGAAGCCTATGAAGAGGGAGTTGGAAGGCTACTGCAGGTGAAGCAGTCCAGACAAGAGAAAAGGGCATCTGACAAAGATGTTGGCTCTGGAGATGGAGAAATGTCTGGATGGATCCCTGCTGCAATGGCCTCCCTGAGCCCTGATGGGACTTCTCCTTCCAAGCACAATCCACAGCATGGAACATCTCAGGACTATTGATGTCTGCACTTCACACTAGATGTAAGGCCTTTGTGGCAGGCCTTCCCACTGCTCCTCCACTGCTTGGCAAAGGCAACCACATAGTGGAAGCCAAATATTTGTTAATAAAGACATGAATGGGTAAAAAAGAAAAGGAAATTAATCTCTTTGTTTTTATTCATTTTTCTGCCTAAGACAACTATAATGAGCTGTCAACTTGGTGAATTTCATTTTAAAGTTAAATATAATTAACTCCTCTGCTATACAGTGACTGTTTGCAGAGGGCAGAGTGTTTTAGATTTTCAGTTTTGTGACTTCTGGGTTTTTTTTTTTAATCCTCATTTTTATAGTATTCAGTGTAGGTAAAAGCCTATGAAGAGGAAATGCCAGAAACTGTGTCAACTTGCAATCCAACAAATGCCATCTGTTTAAAGCTCAGATCACCTGTAAAGTTAGAAAAAACTAATACTGAGTTTATTTGCGGGAAAGGGGTTTGAAAAACATTTGTCTATTTGTTCATGAACTTTACCTTTTTTACTTAACAACAGTGGAATTGATGGCTATTAAGCTCTATTTTTGCAGCAACTTGAATCTTACAAAAGAGCCAATAAGTATCACACACAAATATAATCTTTAGAGTCCATCTAAGTTATTGCCTCAGAAGTCAGGTTGGGTCAGAGTTCTGTGACTGTGTTTCTGGGGCTATCACGTGTGTCCTATGGACCCCTGCATCTTTATCAAGGAGGAAAGTCATGATAGGTTTGGAATTGGATAAACCCAACTCTAGAGTTCTTGGGGCAATGACCCAAGGTGCCAGAGATTGTCCAGACGCTCTGCACCTACATGTCTGAGTGAGGCCATTTGGTAGAAATTGAATAGAATAAGAAATTGGAGATCAGAAATTGTAACACACAGCTATGTAAACAACTCTTTCCTAATCTGTTCCTGGAAACCAGTTCAAGATCAACAACAGAAAGGAAAAACTTACATTCCAATTTTGATATATGTTTGGAAGAGATGCCCAAGTGTTTTAAAAAGCTGCAAAAATAGTTATGTTCATTTGGGAGTCACACAAAAAAGTAGGTAAGAGAGATGTCAGTAGCAAAATCCCACCCTTTGCAGATCTAGAATGCACCATCAGAACTACACTTCTTACAGGCTAGGCACATCCTGAGGGCACAACGTACAGAACAGCACGTGTTAAGTGGGTATCAAGCTGCACGTTAAACTGGGTGGTCTCAGAAGCCACTCCTACCTTTAGACCATATTTTCAGGGAAACAAAGAAGAGAAAGTTATGTGAAGAATACATATATTTGTAGGAAGCACTCCATCCTTGTGGCCATGGAAAAGAGACTAAGCTATGGAGCCATTAATGTCACCTGGTCCTCCCCACCAACAGCACTCTCTTGCAAACAACTGGCCAGGAATACCCAATTCATTCAAAATGAGTAACAACGAAAAAATCTAGCACAACATTCACACAAGAACTAAAGGTGGAGGGCCGGCCCAGCGGCGCAGCGGTTAAGTTCAAACGTTTCGCTTTGGCAGCCCGGGGTTCACTGGTTTGGATCCTGGGCATAGACCTACTCACCACTCATCAAGCCATGCTGAGGTAGCATCCCACACAGAAGAACTAGAAGGACCTAGAACTAGAATATACAACTACGTATTGGGGCTTTGGGGAGAAAAAAGAAAAAAAAAAGGAGAGGAAGATTGGCAACAGATGTTAGTTTAAGGCCAACCTTCCTCAAAAATAAATAAATTAAAAAATATTAATAACATTAAATTTAATAACATTTAATAACATTAAAAAATAAGAAATAAAGGTAGGTTGAGAGTCACACAACTATCGACAAATGAAGAACACATACCAAAAAGATGGTGACATGGAGCAACTGATGAAACTAGCAAATATTTTTGCCATCAATTTAAAAATATTTAATAAGGCGATCTCCTCCTTAAAAAACACTACACAGCAGAATTGTTACAATTCAGTGATGAGATGGCAAGATAATAAGAAGATATGAAATGTGAACTAAAGGACTTAGAAAGAAATAGAAGGAAAAAAATAGCCATCAGACAAATAAAGATAAAATTAGAAGCACAGGGCAAATTGATACTGCACAAAACACAGTAAAGCGACATAGAAAACGCATACGAGAAATGCAACTAAAGGAAACAGAAATAAAGAAAGAGGTTAAAAGAATTAGGGAAAGTTTATTGATAAGAAACACAGGAAAAAGAAATTCATGCAATTGGAGTCCCTGAAGAAGAAAAACCAAATATTGGAAGATAATAAACTTGAAACTCTAGAATATATCAAGAAAAGAAAACTTAAACTTACACATTGAAAGGTCTCATCTTGTGCCATGGAAAATTGTCCAAGAATGGTCAACAAAGAAGTGCATCCTAGTAAATGTACTTAATTTTCAAGTCATTAGAAACTTGCCAAAATTACCAGGTCTTATAAAAGAGGGAACATATCAAAGTGGCCTCAGATTTCTCCATGATAACATTCAAAGTCAAAGATAATGGTGCTATTTCTACAAGATGCTTACAGATAAGAGTAAGCTAAGGAATTCAAATCCAGCCAAGCTGCCTTTCAAATATAAATGCTGCAAAGAGGTTTAAGTGTGTAAGAACTCAGGTTATATTATCTCATGAGATCTTCTTAAGGAAATTACTAGAAGACAAACTTCAGTCCACCAAAGGATGACTGGTAAATGACAGTGACAGGATAATGATAAAGGTAAGCAATGAACATATTTTCCAGTAAAAATAAGACTAAAACAAGAATGGAAATTAAGATGACAAGACATCAGAAATGTTATGTTTCCTGAAATGTAGAAATGATACAACAAACAAAAATTAGAAGGATAGAGGAATGAGTTAGAGATCTTGGAAGAATAAGTCGGTGAATGACAAAATCAAAGGCTATTTTTTAACATTGACATATGTAGACATATGTAGACATAAGTATCGGCATCTTTAACAGTACAAAGGAAGACAGCAAGTGAGATAATATCAACTAAAATTGCATGATGGAGAAGAAAAAGTAAATGATGGAAGAAGAGAAACAACTTTAAAATTTTATTGCTTATGGTAAAAAGAAAAGTTGATATTATTTATAAAGTTATAACCATCAGGTAACCAGTAGAACAACAATAAAACATTACTAAATATTAATTTAAAAGCAAAATTATAAGGATAGAAAAAAAGATATATTACACATATACATGTAATTCATTCCATACTATTAAAGAGCTAACCTCACCTACATAAGAACCTATATGATGCGTACAAGAGACATGCCTGAAACAAAATACTTCAGAAAAGTTTAAAGTGAAAGTGTGGGCAAAGGAATATTAAGTAAATAGGAATACAAAGAGAGAGAGAGAGAAGAAAGAGAAAG